TAAATAATCTGCTTTTTTTCATCAAAATAAATTTACCAGCAGATCTATTAATTTAAAAGAACAAAAAGGAAAATTCACGCATAAACTTCAATTCCAGTGTTTCCAAAGCCATCAGCTCATGTGGCTCGGTTGCACTGCGGCGAATTTCAGCAAGAAGAGCAGGTAATTCTTCCTTTAGCTACAAGAAAACAGATTAAAAATAACGCAATTAAACTGGAAGAGTGGGACAATTTTATTCCAAGAAGGAATATGCTCTTCTACGCATCTTTTGCTTTTGTGGTGAATTGCACCATTTTATTGCGACAGTTTGCACCCAAGCTGGTACAAATTGTCCAAAAATGATGTATTACAAATTACTCCTACGCAACTGGTGTGTTCAAAAACGTTGCCTTTCATTGGACAAAGTTGTCTCATTCTAATTTAAAATTGAAAGTTGTTTGTATTTTGTGAACTCAGTTGTAAGTTGACAACCCCAGAACCACCAAACGCGATTCAATGCTTGTAGAAATGCACAGAAAAGGTAGCACATTGGTGTTACATAAACAAAATTTGAAGTGTGTAAATTATGTGACTTGAACACTTCCATTGGGGAATTTTGACGAGGAGTCCACAATTTCAGATAAGCACGGTTCACGGAAAAATGATAATTTTTCAACATTATTCAGTGGATTCAATAGTATTCACAAAAACTCATTAATATTCTCCACAATCAATGATGAAGCTAGGGGTCGTTGGGAATATCCAGTAAAATTTCACGAGCATAATTCCAAATTTATAACTTTAACTTTCCATGAACAAGTGTTTTGAGTTGTCTTACCTTTTCAATATCAGAATTTACGGTCCTTTGATTGCCGTCGAGTCCATGTCTATGACTACCAATTTCCATCAATTTCAAGAAGAGGTACATTTTGACAACACATGTGAAGCTATGGATAGGTGGGTAGAGAGAAACTACAACGTCCAGAAGTTTTTTGCAGTGCTCAACCAGGTACCCTGCCTCCTCTGTGAAGAAACGAAGTAAAACAAATGTAAATAGCATCTGCTAAACAAACTGGGAGAAAAAGAGCAATACGATATTCCGCTGAAAGAAAATCGAAATCAGAATAAAGAAGAAAGCATGAAGTCCTGCCCGATCTGTTGCTCCCGAACGCTGACTGGTCGCAACGATGACGTCGGTGTAAAGGTCTGCCAGTTAGTGCGCAGAAGGAAGTACATCGAGCAGTCATGCTTCTCTTCCTTCTGGTTCCGGTTTGCTTACAGCGGAGTTCCCTACATGAATTTACCGAGGGTTGCTGGTTCCCTGACTGGACACCTGCCCAGTCCTAGCAACTCGGCCCTGGCCTTGACCACCAGGTGGTGAGTCAGGTGCAGAGGTCCTTTCGGCCACAGAGCAGCGTCGATGAACCGCTGCCAGAGGCGCTGAGTATCTTTCCCGGTACGATCAGGGTGCAGCATCATCGACGCCTGCAGCGATGCGAATGACTTCTCCAGCTCGAGTACAGCTGGATCAACACACGGACCACTCGACTTGCATACCCTGCATCGCCAACCAAAGGCGCCGACTAGGGTCACTAGGCACTGCTGCAGATCCTTGCCTGTTAAAATCCACAGACACATTCGCACCG